CATGTAATCACATAACACTTTTACTTTTATCATTAGATTTTGTTTTTGTGACAACTAATTTATACAAAGAGATTTAAATGTACTAAGAAACAAACCAAAATAACGTTGAATACTGCAAAATCATTTACATAGTTTCTGGTGGACACATCCGTTGTGCTGCTATTATTGGGAAATGAATATCTCTCCCCTGTTTCGAAGTTGATCTCCTCTGAATCGTCGAGGTTTTTGTTTAACTTTGCATTTAGTAGCATTTTCAAACGCTCTAACGGCGATTCAGTTGTAAAATCGAGGACGCTCGTTAAAAATGGCTTGTAGCCGACTGGAAGATCGTCTGGCTGATAACCATAGATAAGCATCTGCACAAATAGGTTAGTGGTGTTGGCGTCAGTGATGGTAGCTTTCAAGCTACTGGGAGAGAAGTGAGTGTACACGGCTACTGGTGGAGTGAAATCGTCTGACGCCTTGTTGACGGTGTGCTATGAATAGAATTTATAATCATAAAAAAAATTCTGACAMATTTTTTGCTTGTTACAAAAACAGTCAACTTACATCAAATATTATGAAACGCACATAGGTTATGAAATTGCTGTCAATATAATAGAACGTAACGCTGTGGTTTGACGGCTCCTGTGAGTTAGTTTGTGACGTCTGGTATGTCTCATACACTAGGTAATCATCTGTCGAAGAAATTCCCGTTTAATTATAAATGGAAASTTAAGTGTTTTAGATAATATAATATCATTTATACCTGGTTGACGCATGCCTAATTCGATTATTTTATCTGGGTCGCCAAAATCATCGGTATAGCTCATATCTTCTTCCAACTCATCTACTGCTTCTTCACTTGTGTTCTTCCTATCCGTCTCTTCAAAGTCATCATCATCAATTTCATAGTCAAAGTCTTCGCTAGAATATGGTCCAAGTATGCCTTGGAATTGCTGATCTCTATTCAGTATATACGATGGATTTACATTGAGTACAGTATCATTGAATCCATAAATAGATATCTGCACTTCAAATGGTTCCATACTCTCAGTTGTTTCCGTGGCGTTTGCATTGTTAAGTGCAATTATGCTACCTTCCACCAAGTTATCCTGATATCTGAAGTTGACATCGGCCAAAACGTTCTGAAGATAAACATATAACACAAAAACATTACAAATATTTTTTTTTTTTAAATAAATTTAATGAAGATTCAACGAGAACATATATGTATGCATATAGAAAATATAGAAAGAGATTTAAGATATTTTCCTTTACAGAAAACGACGAAYTTAATATTATTTGCATGCAAATGACTAAACCTTTAGAACCTCTTTCAGATATCTATATTTGGGTTACCCAACTAGATAAACTATTCATATCTAACATGTATCATGACTTTTTTAACAAAATTTTTAAAAAAATACTGTTCAAAGGCTACAATTATCTTGAGCGGTTTAAGGAGGCGAATTTATAAAACTTTTATCGCAAAAGGTCCCTATAAGAGTTGCACTGCTTTCTAAAAATTGTAGCCTGAACATACTTAACATACCCTAAGTGTGTCACGAASTTTGTAACTTCCAGAAGGAAGCCTCTGAGACCGTACAAAGGAGATATCAAATGATCAGCGTAACGATATGAACCAAATTGGCAATATTCGTTTGCCTGTCCCTCAATTTTTGAGATATCGACCTCAAATTTCTGCACCCGTCCATTTCTTTCAAAATACTGATTATTGGATATTCTGTCAGATATTGGACTACTGTAGAATATACTGMCACACAAAAAACTTTTTTTTAACAAGATATATTTACGATATTTATTACTATATGGTACTTTTCAATGTCAATGTCATAACCTCCGAATATATTGTTCAGATAATACATATTCTTTTTCTTTAATGGCGWAGAAACAATCGAATCGGACTACTATCATTCAAACTAGCTGATCAAAATCAAAATTAAAATCTTTTCATGCCATTTAATGCTATAAGAAATACATCTTAGGTGGTTATTGTAGCTTCGGTGCWGCCGAAGTAAAAGTCTTTTCTACTCTAGTTTGATTTTTCCTCATATTTTATACATATCCATACGCACAAATGTCTTTTTTAATGCCGGTTAATCCTCTGCAACTAAAATAACAGTTTTGAYACAAAATATTATGTTCACATCAGTCGGCCTTCGTAGGAACCTAGCATCCCGTCACTTGTGCAACGTTTGCCTTGCTCAAAAAAACTGCAAACGAAATGAAAGCAAAAACAGGAAACGAAATAATTTATGGCGGCTTAGCCACAGGAAGTCTTTATAAAACAATTTTGAGCAACTGCAACACAAAAGTAGATAAATTTAATTTGCAAGACTAACGAACTTGACTTTTTCCAGTTACAGCATCATTTCCTTACATACGTACATACATACGCTCATATATAGTACATATTCGTGCATTCGTTTTCGCGCGTCAAATATTATAACGGAAATGTGAAGTTCATCGGCATTTGCGAAAAAAATTGAATTGTTTTATAATTTCCATAAATATYATATGAGTGAATAATATATAGCAATTTCAATGAATAATATTCACGTGTATCTGTTTGTGTGTGAGCACACATGCATAAAAGTGCACATGTCGGCAATAGCGCCTCCGATATTTTCGACCTTTTGCGATGCCTAATTGCAAGATTATATTTGTAAATATACAGAAATACTTCTGTACATATTTTCATAAACATTCTCTATAGTTTCGAAATTAGAATTTTATAGAAATTTGCAACATTTACTCGTACACACACGTACACACACAGGCACAGACAATTTACATAAATACAAATGTGTATATATTTAGAAGTGACATATTCGTATAATGGGTGACCAAAATGTGACCTTACTTGCTCGGAAACTATTTCGATGTAAGTTATGGGCTCTGGAATGGCATAATTAAAGCCAACTTCTTGCCCCTTATCGACGCCGACCGAACGTGCTTGTTGTACGTCTTTTAATAGTAATTGATCATTGTGGATGCGCGTACCAATGCCGAAAAAAGATTTACACTCGACCAATGACTGTAGAGAAGCGGCGACAAAAATTAGCAAAAATTGCCAAATCGGCACTGTCGTTGGACGCATCTCGARTTTGTGGGTACAATGACACAATTTTGAAATTTCCTAACACGTAGATACCCGTACAAAGTGGTTTATTTTCGTAATTGCGAAAACATCTAAATTATTATGACCGAAAGCAAAAATATTCGCGCTGTGGCGAACGCTTGGCGACACGACACGATCGGTTACTTCTAGTTGACTCGGCGTGTTCGTTACAACTGAAAATCTTTCCTTCGTTAGAGCTGAAATACTTTCGAAATTTCGAAAATAAATTTCAAAATTCGCTGGAGAGATTAAAATATAGACACTGCGAATGTGTGCCAAGAAGCGCTCTGAGAGGGCAAAACACTATTTAAACACATACATAAATACAAGATATAAGCGCCTTCATAGTATCGTGCTAGTGGAATACTGTGTGCAAAGTCAAAATAAAAATATTTTTGTTTTGAAAAATATTAAGATCGCTTTATTGAGTGCATAAACACCATTTGAATGCACTGAAGAACACACACCTGTTATACATTGCCTGCGAAGGGCCTCTCTGTTGTGTCTTCAAGTGTTTAACGTGTGTATAAAAATAACGTGAGAGCTTTTCCTTTCATGAGAGCGATGCAGAAGTAGAAATATGCCAACGAATGAAGCGACGCAGGAAGGGTGTGTGATGCATGGTGATGATAGCGTTGCTCATACGACCTGGTGTACAGAGGGGTTCTCTTAAACACACACAGAGCTGCACTTACAGTTGACTTTATGCCGGTATGTGTTGCAAATTCAGCTCACACACAATCCCTTACGGAACGGAAAATGCAAATTTAATTAGCAAAAGTTGTTGTTTCATGAGCATTAACTAGTTATGTAGCTTGCTAATAATACATGTCTTTACTGGGAAGTATATGAATATCTTCGGAGATGCTCAGAAGCTAGGTCTCTTGGATTTCCTGCAGACCGCACAATGTTATTTTCATATATGAAGACATTAGAAGACAATTTCTTTAACTGAGAGCATGCTGAGTCACTTAAGGGGTTACATGGGTTTTTCTGGTAACAAACAGCCATTTTCAACAATTTTTTCCTCGTATAAAAAATTAAATATTTTATTAAACCTTTTTATTGCTACAAACATACACACAATGAAATTCTGAAAGTTTTCGAAAAAAATAGTTTAAACTCGGCCAAATCCGGCGATCCCTCTGAAAAAAATGCGCCTGCGTTGGCWGGATAATTCCTAACAGAATCATTTAAAGTGAATAAATACCTGTTTTAGTTAAAACCTTAACATAGAACTTTTACGAAAGAACAAAAACTGAAAATTGGATATTTGGCAGACATTTTTACAAAAAAAATTAAATTTCCAGTAAAAATTTTGCAACATTTTTTTTTTCAAATAGTTGTAATGTCTACGTCTTTAAGAATTATATCTCAAAGTTCTGTATAAAATTTTATGAAAATCGATTAAATAGTTCTCAAGAAATATGGCCAATCGACTTCAAAAACACAGTTTCGAGAAAAACGGGTTTAACGACGGTAGCCTAGCTAGCCTCAAGCGCACAAGTTCTCAGGGCGGAAATGTTTTTGTTCTGCGGCAGTATTATTCGGATCAACTTGAAAATTTAGGAAAATTTAATGAGACAATCTAAAAATCTATTTTTTTAAACCCATAAACCCCTTAAAATAGAGTTTTGGGACGGAAATGCTTTTAAAAACGATATTATTTTACTGTCGTCCTGAAGCGGACCATATATATCACTTTCTGAATAAATATTTGGCTACTGATACATTCGAGTATTTCACCCTATTCCCATTTCCTTGGTGATGCCGCATAGGCTATCCAAAATCAGGGGGCTACAAATGGTAAATGGATATTACAAAAGCTTTTCTATAACAAAATATGCCATGGTGTTTTACCTTCTTCTTCTTAATTGGCKTAGACACCGCTTACGCGATTATAGCCGAGTTAACAACAGCGCGCCAGTCGTTTCTTCTTTTCGCTACGTGGCGCCAATTGGATATTCCAAGAGTAGCCAGGTCCTTTTCCACCCGATCCTTCCAACGGAGGGAAAGTCTTCCTCTTCCTCTGCTTCCCCCGGCGGGTACAGCGTCGAATACCTTCAGAGCTGGAGTGTTTTCGTCCATTCGTACAACATGACCTAGCCAGCGTAGCCGCTGTCTTTTAATTCGCTGAACTATGGCCATGTCGTCATATATCTCATACAGCTCATCGTTCCATCGAATGCGATATTCGCCATGGCCAACGCGCAAATCACCATAAGCTTTCGCAGAACTTTTCTTTCGAAAACTCGCAACGTCGACTCATCCGTTGTTGACATCGTCCAAGCCTCTGCACCATATAGCAGGACGGGAACTATGAGTGACTCATAGAGTTTSGTTTTTGCTCGTCGAGAGAGGACTTTGCTTCTCAATTRCCTACTCAGTCCGAAGTAGCACCTGTTGGTAAGAGTTGGAGGATGGAGTCATGTGTAGAAGTTCACGAAAATGAGGAAAGTTCTCTGATCGCTATTCACTTGGGAGTGGATATGGCTCAAGCAGCTCACGACTACCGGTCTTTGACCAAGTATCCTCTGGGTAGCCCAATGAAAAGCAACAATCAGCATCGGATGAGATACCCCCTTTTGATGGTGATTTACCGCTTCTAGGAAAATAAATTTTGAATGTTGATACAGTGGTACACAATATAGACTACTCATTTTTTATAAAGCTATCGTTTGATCTTCTGACCTACCCCAGTGAATCCGTTATTCTCTAGGAAGTGTTTTCAATCATCAGAATACATAAAATTTAATACATCTTTTGAAGAAACATTTGTCGAACATTMAGGGATCACCAAATGCATTATTTATTTTCTATTGAAAAATCGAATAGATTCGATTCGTGCGATTAAACAAATATTGTAAAAGTTCTCTTAACAATAGTTTACAATTTTATTATATTCAAACGAAATTGATTTTTGAAATAACTCGTCCGAACAGTTGAGAAGAACCACAGGATGTAAAAACAGCTTATCTCAAAAATTCACGCTGACTGAATGCCTCCTCCGGCTGACTTTACAATATAGGATTRGTTTTTTAGTATATGATAAATTGATAACATGTGATTTTGAGAAAAATATATAAAATCGGGTCGATACTACCCCAACTAATATAATTATTATAATTTTTTTAACAAACCTTCTGTATGTGCCAGTGTATGAGTTATATATGGTATATGTATATAAAAAATTGCTTGGATTTCGATCCCCTGGTTGACAATAAAATTACCTATTTCTTTAAATATTTCCAATAGGACGAGGGCTGGAAACTGAATCGAACAAACTATTACCAAGAAGGATGGCTGGCTACCGGTAATATTCGCGGCATTGTCGGCGTGACATTTACAACCTCACATTGTCGCAGAAATTTGGATTTTCCGACGCGTACCAATTACAATCTGCGTGGGCATCGATCCGATGTAAGTATATTTACAACAATTAATCTTACTACTAAACGAGCATTTCAATGATTTTTATTWCTCTTAAGAAGCATAAGTTAGGCTACTCAAGCATGGCAATTCTTTTGTAACACAAAATGCCCAAATGTTGTTCAGATTGTTTGCAAAATGTTTTTGTAAAACGATATTTTCTTTCCAGGTGATTTTGGTGAAATGGAATGAACCATATCAGAAATTGGCTTCGTGTGATAGTTCCGGTATCATATTTGTGTGGATCAAATATGAAGGCCGTTGGTCCATCGAACTGATTAACGATCGCAATACGCCGGTTACGTACTTCTCCTGGTCGCACGATGGACGTATGGCACTAATTTGCTATCAGGACGGTTTTGTGCTTGTAGGCTCGGTAGCCGGTCAGCGTTATTGGTCATCAATGTTGAATCTGGAGTCGACCATTACATGCGGTCTTTGGACACCAGACGATCAGCAAGTATATTTTGGCACCACACATGGCCAGATCATCGTTATGGACGTGCATGGAGCGATGGTGTCGCAAGTGCAGCTCGCCAATGATGTTGGCATAACAGCAATGGCGTGGTCATGTGAAAAGTTCAAAATGGAGGAGGGTGAAGAATCCGAGCCAGGTGTTACCAATGCTTGTGAGTTGTACAATACTTTGAGATATKCCTGATCCAGTTACTTAACAATACCACGCTTTCTCTTGCAGCTAAACGTTCTTTTGTATTGGCTGTTAGCTTTCAAAATGGCTTTATATACTTAATAAAGTCTTACGATGACGTATCGCCTGCACATATCAACACAGGGCTTAGCGGCAGCATAGGCATGGCAATGGAATGGAGTAATTCGCGTGAATTGCTCGCTGTTGCTGGCACTGCGCAGACTTCGTTGAACACGTTTGACCAACAAGGGGCGCCGATTTATGAAAATATATTGAAATTTTACACCGAATCTGGCAAAATACTGTACCAAACACGCTTACCGAATACCTCCGCCACGGTGTCCGCCCTTACATGGGGTCACAACGACAAGCGTCTGTTCATTGCGACTGGCACCCAAGTGCACATTGCGTGGGTCTCCAGGCGTATAGCATCACTCCAAATGTTATGTCGCCTACAAATACAGGCAAGCATTGGCTCAGAGCGATCGTTGCCCTTGCTACCGTTGCCGTCACGAATTAGGAGTCTGATTGGCAATCTTTTTGCTCAAACAATAAGAGTAAGTGTGATACCACTTCAACTGGGCCACATATAAAAATCTTATTTTATTTGCAGTGCTGTGTACCTGATCTTAAATCCGTACGTGAGTTTGTCTCCCGGCCACCAATGTGTTCGACACGCTTGCACTGCACCATGATACGACACGACGAGGATCCGACCCAAAATACAGGCATTTGCTACACACTCTATTTGGAGTATTTAGGTGGCCTTGTGCCGCTACTCAAGGGTAAACGCACCTCGAAAATACGTCCAGAGTTCGTGATATTTGATCCGCAAGCGAATGGTGTGTATATAAATACGCCTTTATTTATATTGATCAACTTTTGTTTCTTTTCGTRTTACTTTTATTAATAGATTCCCCGGTTTTCATGCAATACTCACCAGAATGGAAAAGCTCTTCCGGCTCGAGCCAATCTACAACTACCGGACAAAGCGGCAGAACGGATTCTTCCGATAGTGAGTTTGAAGAACGTTACCGTAGCTCTCCACGTCCAATACGCCATCGCAAATTGCGACAGAAAAAGCGAAATCAGAGCAATGGAGAAAAATATTCCGTGAACACCAATATTGATCCCGATAGCTTGGATGAACTCGCTTACGTTGATACACTTCCTGAGGTAGGCCATGTTTCATATTATTTTAGCACATTTTAAAAAGGGTAATTGTATGCCATTGTTGCATCAGAAGATTAGTCTCTAGTGACGTTATTCAATTATTTCAGAAGTGAGGTCAAATTATTATTATTTTTTTTTATTTATATGTACATATATTGAAATAATTAGCATCATCTTGAAATTCATTTACTATAATGCACCAAAAAAATAACCGATTTTATTTACATTCTAAAGGAAGAAAAACTGGTTGAGGTTACCTCAAATATTTGGGGTACCAAATTTAAAATTCATGGACTTGCCAAAACCGTCCCAGCCAATTTAGGCCAAATAACGTATAAAACGTCCCTATTGCATCTGCAGCCAAGGCAAATGACACTAGTTATAACAGAACTGCGTGACGACTTTCCTTCGGGTCCGGATCCAACTTTTAATCCGAACATTTTTTCCGAAGACGAAGATGATGCTGCTCTACACAATGGCAGTAAAAGCAATGGCAATACATACAACTTGCTGACAAATGCCGAGAGCCAAATGAGAGCTACATCAACAGCGGCAGCCCCACATCGTCGCCTTAACGAGTTATCCCCACCTATTGCACCAATGTCACCWCGACCTAACCATCTATTGGCGCGACACAAAAACGCACTTAATAACAATGGAATACAGTGTGCGATAGGCAGCACTGGCTTAAGTCCATTGGCTAAAGCCGAATCTTATGATGATGATTCGTCAAATGAATCACAGGAGGTAAATGGTTATCACAATGGCGCCAGAGTCAACYTACCGACCGGCAATTTACTTCACACCACAAACGGATCAAATAATAACAAAATGGTGCGTCCGAAGAATATTACTGCCACTACACCGGGTATACGTAGCAGCCTAGGACCTGGCTATAGTAGCTTCAAAAACAACTACAGTCGTTCTAGTTCGAACTCGAGCTCACAGTCCCGCCACGCTATATCGCCACTGTACTGTGATGGTTCGGTTCCAACGTTACAATCACCGAAAAATGCCGTCGCACCAACGGATATAATATTCGAACGTCCCGCTGTTTCGAGCAATGGTCAAACCACGGTTATGTCCTACTCCAGCAATACGGATTACGCTAACAATGTTGTGCAAGTGAAGAATGTTTTGCTGCCCGAAATGATTCGGTCTACAAATAGTCATGTCAACCCAGTACCTTTAAATCTTAATTTGAACCTTGAACGTATGGATGCAAGACTCAAAACAGCAGCGTGTAGCAGTAATTTCACAGCAAATAATAATCCCGTTAACAATAACAACACAAAACGTCGAGATATTTCGTATATAGATGAAGAAGTTCAATCGCCCACCCAGCAAGCTTTGATAACTTTCACTCCCGTCTCTACGCCCGTCGAAGTTCGGATGAAGCGCACAACAACGGTAGTGTCCATCGCGCCTGCTCTACCCGATTCGATTACCAGAAGTTGTAGTGTTGGTTATTTGGACTCGGATGCTATTACACCGTCCGACGAAGCCTTAATGGCGCTGCGAAGAGACGCACCCACCAAACGTTTGATATTAGTAGACAAACGTAAGACTAGAAAAAAACGTCAAAATAATGAGGTAAGACAAGTAGGCAAATTTTTCTAACAGCGGTTTTTAAATTACCTACTTTTAACACTAACCTCTGACTTAATAAAATGTCTGAGAAAAATGTATCATTCATTATTGGTTTTTATCATGCCCAAAAAACGCTTAAAACTTTTGATGTAACCGAATCTCGAACTAATCAGCAACATTATAAAAATCTAAAATCATGAAAACTTTTTTAACATTTCCTAATCCAGGACTCCCGCAAACCAAAGTTGGAAAGATCGGGAAAATCAAAAAGTCTGGATTCCTGCGAATTAGTCTTCAGTCAAACAAAATTAAGCAGCAAAGAACCCGAAAAAGCACCACGAAAACTTCAAGAAATCGCTGAAGGTAAAACAAGCGGCACCGACACCAATGAACCGACAAAATGTTTTAAATGTCACARAAGCGTTAGTCCCAACGAACAATGTAAACATTGCCAGCCAGTCCAAACTGCAATCGACGAGCAACCAAAGAAGGAAGAGAAAATACGTATAGTGTCCACCCCGCAGAAGAAGGACTTCACAGCCAACACGCATATTTATGAAAGTTTATATAAGAGTCAGGAACAGCAAAAACAAAGTCAACGTAAAACGGGCGGAACACCGAGAAAGAAAAAGTTGGACGTAATCACTAGCTTCACCGACAGTCCACTATTCACGCGAAAGCATCGTTTTGGCATCAGAAGTCGCAGCAAAGAAACTGGTAGTAGCAGTGAAACGAACACCGAAAGCACCACACCGTTGCTGGGTCGTAAAAATGATAATGGATTTAACTTCGTTAAACAATTAACCGAGGTACGCTGGCGACGTAGAGAGACCCAAAATAATGTGACTACTGTAAAAAATCAACGCGATTACTTGGGACACACACAATGCCCAAGCACGAATGGGAATGCCATTGAGGCCACGCCGGTGGAAACTAAAGCTTCTGTCTCTTTACAAGCGCAGGTATTACAATACAGTTATAGTTACCTAAATGTTACGTATATGTTGTATGAGTATGAAATACCGCGCTTGCATCACCGGGCGTGAATCTGTGAAACCGTATACGTCAATAATAAATAACGGAAAAACTGCTAATTTTGTTAAACTGACGAAACAGGTTGCTACAAATAGTCATATAGTTGTAAATAAATAGATAATCAGGATGACGACATGAGTTGACTTATTTCATAGACCACTAAAACTATACTGACCAAACTCATCAACTACTCGACCAATTTCAACGAAATTTTTTTCATTACAATTTATTTTGTACCCTTATGTCATAGTGTATAAATGGATGAAATCGGGCTTTTGAATTTCATCTGATCCTTACACTTCACAGTGTATTAATAAAGCACTAATGAGGATTTTGGCTATACACAAATAGTCCATTTAAGATATACCAAATAAAAATTCTCAAAATCGAACAAGTCTCCAAAAACTTTCCAAGCCACCGGATACCAAATAGAGCTGAGCCGGATACCACTTCATAGAGCTGAGTTTTTACCTAAGCTAAGGGTTAAGTTCAAATACATTATTGAAAAAGAGAAAGACTTTTTTCTCGATAATAATCCAACCTTGTGTCAAAAATTAGTAAAATSGGGTCTCCAATCCCAATAAACGTAATAGAAATATTTTCGAACTTACCGTTGACTTTATACGGAATATATCAGTCAGCACTTAATATATCTTAGCKAACAATAAAAAAAAACGACCTTGGGATAACCCAATACCCACATACAAGTATTACATACAATGATTTTCGTTGCAATAATCGCCGAATAAGTGCACCATATCATATTCGTACAGAGCTCTAATATTATTACGTATTTAAACTAAATTAAGTTATTTCGTCAAATTTATTAAAATTTGTTTGATCGATCACGCTCTTGTGAAACATACATACACACGAACACATCTAACATTGAATTGCATTTATTCAAACGATTTCGAAATGTATTTACCACATATGCAATTTACAGGCACTTACAACGTTAGAGAACATAATCAGCCGTTTACGAGACCTCGACGAGGGACGTCTCACACCGCCCGCCACACCAAAACGCCTACCACGAAGCTCGCCAGCATCGCCAGCCGTTAGTAAAAAGAACAAACGTCAGAGTAGTTCGCCCATTCGGCACTTTTTGAATTCACCTCTGCTAAATAGGCGCTATCGCAAAAAACAATGCCTCATAGAAAGTTCAGATGACGAAGGCAACGGTACAAATGGGTCAGGCGAAGAAAACGGTGGTGCCAGTTACAATAGGCAATATCGTGATTTGGAAACATTCCAAAAGGCACAGCTACTACAAAAGGTGAGTATATATACATATGTATATCTATGTAGGTTTATAAAATATATATGTATATAATACAAATATGTATATATACATAAGTGAAAGAATATGTTGCATGTATGTACACATATATTTTATGGGCCACTAAATTTTTATTTCGATGAATTGGCAAATTTACACAGCAGTGGTTTAAAGGGCTCACTGTTGTTAAATAGAGCCTTGCAGATAAAAATAACAGTTTTCCATTCCCTCATATTCGCACATATAGTATGTATGTATATGAGTAATTTTGTCATTGAAAATATGGGTTGTAATAACTAGTAGCACTAAGGTGTGATTTCTATAATATTGACACTTTTAATATTATAAAATAATTTGAATTTATGGATTTTTTTTAGTCGGAAATTCTTTTTGAAAAGTTTTATATTCCCTTGATCCCATAACCGATCTCCAGAAAGAGCTCCGAAAAAGGTGTCCGATGGTGAGAAAATTGTCTCAAATCCAAAAACCCCAAAAAATATTATTACTATAGACGAGTACAGGTAATCCTCGAAGGAATATAAATTTTGATATTTGGAAAAATGGCCAAAAAACTTCTTTTTTCTTAGTTTACTCTCCAGAGTGGCTTAAAAGACCTGGCAAATATATCTAAAAATATTATGTGAAAGTTTTGAAGTCGATCGGTTTCGCTGTTTCGGAGAAAATTTCCTTAATGACTCTGAAAACAGTACACACTAAGTTAAAAAATTCTTAGAAATACACTCATATCTCCGAGTCAACCGAATTCGGATCAGCATACAATTTTGGGAGAATATTCTCAAATATATGTATGTACCATTCATTCGATATATGTATGTTTTTTTGAAAATTCACGAGTATATACGAGCATTCATACACACTAACAAAATTACAGTCAAATACATTATAATGCAAAACATTTTTGTTAACACAATGCATTTGTTATTCCCACCAGCTAAAACGTGGTAAAATAGAGCCGAATGGTTCTTCGAGCTACTCAAGTCCAGCTCCAGTTCGACGAGAATTCGTGATGCACAACAAGGCGCCAATGTGGAATGAGCTTAGTCAGGTGTATCAGCTGGATTTTGGTGGACGTGTCACACAAGAGTCAGCCAAAAATTTTCAAATTGAATTCCGTGGCAAGCAGGTAATTCCTAGAAAAATTACATTTCCATTGTTAACGAAACAGTTACAAAATTTTTCAATTAAAAATCTTTTTAGGTAATGCAATTCGGACGGATCGATGGCAATGCATACACATTGGATTTTCAATATCCATTTTCGGCATTACAAGCGTTCGCTGTTGCGCTCGCCAATGTTACACAACGGTTGAAATAAATATATAACATATGTACATACATATATACATATGTTTGTATGTATTTATATATAAATTAATTGAAAAAAAGCACTGGTCGTCTGACTTTATTGATAAACGAGAGTGATTCAGTGATTCTAAGTATTAAGCGTAAAATACTCGTAATAAAGGGGCCTAAAGTTTTATTATACATACATACATCTCTATACAAATATTTGTTTGCGGCATAAATAGTGCATATGTACACTTAGGTGAATGTAGCTTATACATACATACATACATTTATTAGATATTATAACAGTCAATTTACACGGATCGTTTCTGCTAATCGCTTCAATTCTTTTTATATATAATTGGTTAATCGAAGGTTGGCATTCCAGCGGAAATTTGTGTACGCGTATGATTAGATTTACGTCTCGAGAAAGTTATATCCATTGCGTTCTTTGAATGAGCCCTAAAAATGAGCTATTTTAGTATTGCAAATGTAGTAGTCACGCAGCTTGAGATTATCCTTTTGTATCATCATATTGATCCACGCAACACTCGAACAAGTAGAAAAAACTTCAATGCCACAATCATTCAAACATCTTCCTCTATATCTTTTAATTAGTTATACCTACGAAAAAATTATATTAATTTTACCAAGACAATACAGACATTTTAATTCGTGGCACCAATTTATAGTGCCTAACAAAATCTAAACATTTGAGTAAGCGATCCGTTTGATGTTTTTTGTTTTTGTTTTTTTTTTTTTTGCGTAGTTAATATACATAGATACATTTACTAATTTATTTGTACAGAAAAAACAACATATGTAGCTAGAATAGAAACATATACGAGTAGTTTACCGTTAATTTATAGATTTGCGCACAAATAGTCTATAACACACATAAGTACATTTAAGTTTTAATCAATATGAATTGTAGTTGCAACGTTTTACGCTTAATAAACGGTAGTTAACGATAAATATTTTTTTTTTTAATATAAATTATAAATTACGATTATTATTAGTTTTTTATATATAATGAAAATATAAATTAAAAAGCTGTTTTGGCAAAGTAACATTTTCTAATATTATATGAGTATCTGAAATTTGTCCGACAACCGCATTCAGTTTCCTAAGTGAAGTACRCATTCTAAAAATGAAGACACGTATTGCAAAAAAAAGTTCACCTGTTAATATCTACCGAAAGCAATTTGCATAATTTATCTGTCTTGCTAAACAATTTTTAGTAACTACTCTGATAATTATTAAATTTTGTAAATGAATTTCTTTTAAGCATTTACACTTACTGCGTCCTTCGATACATGTACATTCTGAATAATGTTGTATTTACACATATATTTTATAATGATAGTTTTAACAACTCTTATTCCGATCCATTTTATTTAAAAATAATAATTAATATAATACAAACATGTGAAAATATTAAACGTAATTAATTACCATAAAAAATAAAATAATTCTTATAAGAACTATAATTGAACTTAATATCTGCAATACTCATACATATTTTACATTCAGGTACAGATTGTCTGTTCAACACTTTCTTGCTTTAAATACGCAGCCCATGTATATACCATGTGCTATATATTCAAAACTAAAGTATTAATTTGAAAATGACTTTACTTTAATTAAGTGGCATGCAAAGTCATGTATGCAGGTGTGTARCGATTATTATAAAAAGGTGTTTAAGTGGCAGCAATGGAGTGAAATTTAATAAAGCAAACAAATATACATCCTTTCGAAAAATGGGTGAAATATTTTTTATAATAATATGTATGTATGAATTTTAACATGCTTTTAAATAAAATACATTTTTGCTTCGTAATCGGATATGTAGTTAGTCGCAATTTCTAMATTTGCTATTCAATTCTAAATCGCGCTAGTTAATAATTAATATTGCAAAAGATTTCTAAAATATTGTAAATTAACTAGTCAGGTACTATTTAATTAAATACTATGTACAATATGTTATTACAGATAAAACAATCGACAAAGTATGAAGATAGAACGCATACACTCACAAGAGTCTTAAATACATTTATATGTCAGGAAATATGTACAATACTTTCACCTTGCATTGCTAATACAAAACTAAAGAAATAAACATTATTGCATACATACATATGTACATTCGTAAGTAGATACAAAGAATGCAGCACAATTAGAGTACATGAAAAGTATTCGTGATTTATTCAATAAATGTATTTTACCAATATGAATTTCACAACATTTCAATGATTTTCATTATATTGGGTTATAGCTAAGCTTTTTTCAACATTACATTTACGTAAGGAAATTTAGTGAATTTAATTTGGTGAGTAAATAAAGTTATAATTCAGGTCTTTTGGTAAGAGTTCAGGCACAATTCCGATTTCTTTGGCGCCGCGATTTGAAGGTACCGTTGGAAAGAGGTACCGCAAACGCTTAGTTTAGGAGATATTCGACCT